TTCTCGGCGGCGGCGCCCCGGCTGCGGCGCGAAGGTGCTCCAAGTCCCCACCAGAAAGCCCGGTACCAGCCCCGGCCGGGAAAAGATGTCGAGCACCACGGCGCCCGTGAGCCCCCGAAGCGCGACCCACGCCGGTGGGAGGAGGATGGCTTTGAGCAGCCCGTTCCAAAATATGGGCCCGAAGCCGAGCTAACTCCTCGTTGGGCTCCGGTTCCTCGCCCTCGTTCTCGCCCTCGCCATCCACCTCGTCCTCGGCGGCTTCTTCGGCCGCCGTCGCATATTCCCCCATAGATTCCTGAAGCTCCGGCTCGGCCATGGCCTGGTTGATCCAAGCGTCGGCGGCAGCAAGGGCGGCAGCCAGGATTGGCCTGACCACAGCACCACCAGAGAGAATCGAAATCAGCTGCAGGGAGCTCGAGCGAAGGGAAGAGCCTCGGCGAAACAGATCGAGACCCGACCAAGGCACATCGACCAGAAGCACGGAGACGGAGCCCACGGGTCGTCGCCGAGGCGTCTCGCAAGCGACCTCGGCCTCGGTAAAGCCAGAGGGCTGATCCGCACCGTCCTCGGACAAGCCCGTCACAATGCCAGACACCGCATGAGTGTTGGGCAGGGCGACCATGAAGCCACCGGCCCGGTGCTTCAAGAGGAAGGCCGTCACCCTCATCGAAGGATTCACGTCGTCGTCCAGCAGATAAACCAAAGGCAGGGGCCTGCCCTCCGGCGCGTTGGTAAGAAGCCGGAGGATGTCGTCGCGATTCAAAGCTCCCGCGGCCATGGTAGATCTGCTCCACAAAGATAGGCCTCAACTTCCGATCGCGAAGGGAACCCGTGGCAAATGCAATTATGCTCCAGGCGCCCGTGCCGATCTCGCTCGAAGGTGGCGAAATTCTGCGTGTAGAAGCCCGCCGGCACCGCAACGCACTGAAGGACGATGTAATGCCTGTTCCGAAGGCCCAGCCCAGGCGAAGAGTGTCTCCACTCCCTCTCCTCACGGAAAAGGGCTCCTGCGAACAAGCCAGCCCTGTAAGCCCGCGCGATCCTGCCCTCAGAGGTCCAAGGACCCACTGACCTCAGACCTCGAGCAAGATTGCCCAAAGGCCCAAGACGAAGAGCACCAAGCTCCTCGGGAGTAGAAGCTGCCAGGAAGTCCTCAGAAACCGAAGTGCCCGAAGGAGCTTCGGGAAGCCGCGTGGCCTCCCCTGCAAGGGGTCCAGAAGGGGCCTGGGAGCCGTCAGCAGGAGCCTCCACCAAAGTGAAAGAACTCGAAGGTGATGAAGAAGCAGCGCTCTCGGCCGGAGGCGCAGAGCTCTCGCCAGCTGAGATGGTGATGCGAAGCCCCCGAAAACGAA